TGCGCATTCCGTCGATCGGCTCTCGGCACGCAACGTGAGCCGGACGCGGCACGCAACATTGCACGAAATCTGCGCAACCGAACTCTGGGCCGCCCCGCTTATCCAAGATGACAATAGGATAAAACGACGTGAGACGATCTCACTTCTACTTATTCGCTCTGTTATTCATAATGAAAACAGATCGTACAAATCACATTCGTATTCGTCGATTTTTCACAACACAACTGACTTTTAAAATATAATAAAAAACAAAGCTGGGATGTAGGTCAATTAAAATATACCTCAGAACACCCGCTCTGAAAGAATGCGACAGAACTATACCGAAGTTTTGCGAAACTGCAAAAAAAAAAAAAAAAAAAAAAAAAAAAAAAACCTGCACAACAGTTTATTATGGTTGCTTTTTAATTTAATTAATTTATTGTAAATTACTACAGTTTAAGATAAAGTATGCTCTTCAGAAATAATTGGCTGCAAAATTATTCATAATTCAAACAATTGTCAGAAGAATGTTCAAAAATTTAACGAAAAGCTTTCCACATTCTGAAATTGTTTTTGAGAACTATGGCAATTATACAGGGAAAAATGGTAATAGTCTTTGCTACATCCATGTCTCTAAGGATTTAGCACCAAGAGCATATACTCATTAACCAGCTCATACAACAACATATAATAATGTTTCCTTACACTTGATGGTGTGATGATAATCTACTTCATTATATTCGCTTGGTTGGCCAGCAAATACAGCCTATTAAAAAACAGTGAACTGAACAGTGGATTTTCTAATACAAGATCCTTAGTGATAAAAGATGCATATCAATCTTAAGAGCTGTTGTGGTTAATATTACTTATGTGGCACGAACAACCTAACATACCTAACTAATCAAACTAACATCCAGTGACAGAGCTAGGATTCACAATTGGGGAAGGACAGCAGTGTGAAATACTTGTTCCCAATATTTTATATATATATATATATAAAACTTCTTTTTTTAACTACAGAATATTACTTTAGCCCAACGTTTAACAGAAGTTTCTGTTATACAAGTTATTTATTATTTTTTTAAATTATACAGCAAAGGGAGGTTAGATGCCTTACTGCACCTTCACTGGCTGAATCAGGCTTCCCCCACAGCTACAGAAGAGACTGCAAGATGAACTCACCAGTGTAGCAGAGGGCAATCCAGTCCGACTCGCTGACATCCTGGGTAATGTGCCACTGGAGGCGGAAGCTCTGCTTGCCAGTGGGCCCAGAGCAACGGTTGAGCACCTTGAGGTGACTGGGCCCTGCATCGGCTAGCCACTCACTGCGAATGCGTCTTGTGCGGTCAGCTGACAGGGACAAACGAGTGCACGAGGCACCTGTTGAGAGGCCATTGGCATTCTCTTCATTGTTGCTGCCGTTGCCATTGGCAGGCTGGTCCATTTGTGCCAACTGACCCTGGCTGCTCTCCCCATTTGGCCCTGGAGCAGGGGTTCCATTCCCATTGGAGTCCAACTGCTGCCCTCTTGGGTCCAAAGGGGGCAAGTTGGAGACAGAATCAGCTGAAAGAGCAATGGGTGATTAAATAAAAAATTGAATTCAATGATGTAAGATGTATCAAAACACAACATTACATTTGACAGCATCCTTCAGTACACAAATAGTTTTTCCTTAATGTAAATAAAATAAAAAAAGTTCAGATTGAGGGTTTTAAGTCAATGATTTACAGTGAGTTTAACAAATTATGTTTGCTTTACAATTGTGTATCATCATCATCAAAATATCAATTATCAATTGAAATTTTAAAACTCTCCTGCAGACTTAGTTCTTCTCCCTGAAGATTTTATAAAATTGTTTTTCATTAATCAATTATTCTTCCTAGAGATTACATTAGAAACTGCTTGGAGAGAACAACACTGAAAAATGAAAATTCTATTTGAATAATAATTCATATGGTAATTAATACCCAAAATTTTCACAAAACATTTTTTCGAAAAATACCTTATGATTTTGATTTTAAAATACTGAGAACATATTACATTTCAATCAAAACTTTCTAATTACCAATTAACTATTTTCAAATGTATGCAACTTTCTACATAACAGGAATGCTGTGTTATGAAATCAAAAAATTAAACTATCATTTATCTGCAGTTTGGAAAATGAACAAAATTTTATGAGACAAAGAAATAATTGTATAAAATAACATCTGAAGTACCTGAGGATGAAGTAACATGATTTGAGCTGGAGGAAGAATCTGGTCCCTGTTGATCGGCTGGAGGGGCATCTGAACCTCCAACAACATGCATGAGCCTGCTGGCAGACTACGTGAGCTACCTTGACTGCAGCCATGCGTCACACGCATTCAATTTGTAGCATGGCTGCCAAAAATAACGTATTTTAAAAAAATGTGTAGAGCACTGACAACAATCATATGGTTGCACAATAGAAGAAACTTTTAATAACAAATAAAATATTTCAAAATAAATAGTTAAAATATTTCATTAATTTTTGGCATAAAAATAATAAGATTATTCAACTTTTTTAGCATAAGCAATTCTTCCTTGTTAGCAAACATGTATACAATAAACAGTACTTCCTTGTACATCCATACTCAATATAAATGTCATGAAAAATATCAAAAATGATTGATCTTATTTAGCACAAACTAAGGCAGAAGGATTTCCAGTAACCAATCACCAGGAGGTAGCCCATTATTAAAGAAACAGAATGAGGCAGCAAATTTATGTTATTGAATCACACTAAAAAGATAAAAAAATAATAAAATTCAGGATTTTTGATGTAGATTACCATTTGCCCTATTCTAATAGAGGAATTCTTTTGGTTCATTTAATACCTCAAGAGTTTTGAAAAATATTTTTAAATTAACTTTATGATCATTCTAGGGTATATCTCAATCAAGATTCATGAACCTTAATAAAACTGTTTAAGAAATGGTTTAAAATGGATACAGGGGAAATATTAAGATAGGAAATCAATTAAACCAACATTAGGTATACTAAGATTTGCAGTATTTAAATAAGAGAATGGGAATCAAAAGGAATCATTGATATAAACAAATAATGAACAAAAGCATTTATTACATCAAATAAAATCATACAACAAAAAACAAAACAATAATAATTATTGATACATCTTTTCTGCATTTCAACTAAGAATAACTGCTTTTTAAAGTAAAGGATAAGGCATATATAATTTTGCAAATAAAAAAGGTTGAAACAGAAAAATTAAAAACCAATGACTATAACCATGCACCCCTTTTCATTCCTTAGAATAAAGATCTACATAGGTTCTTCAATCCATAGAGCCAGACACCAAAAAGAAAAAGCAATGTTATTAAAAATAATTGAGATGGTTAACAATGCAGATATAATTCTGAGCTTTGAAACACAAACACACAGGAATAACAAGTGCTCTCTTTAAAGAAAATAAGCATTAGGCTTCAATACTACTAAAATTATGAGGAAAAAATGTTAAAGCATTGCACTGCTTAATAACCCACTGGTATCAAAACGAGGCTATTAACACTTCTGTATATTGTATTATAAGCCAGATTTTTTTCACATTGCTCGATTCCTTCGGTAGGCGTGTTTATGAATGAAACAGGAATAACCGGCATTTTCAACATTGTGATTCAGACAAGTTTTTAAGTAATTTTACAAACCGTACACTTCACAAACACAGAATACCCTTAAATTGTGAATCACAAATGTTGAAGTCATCTTTGAGCCAACAACAAAATCTAAGATGTACACAAATCACAACTACCTACACATTTCTGAGATTGCGATCCAAGAAACCAACTCAACGTACCGTTAGTGAGACCAAAATCACCACGTACACACGTAAAGTTTAATTCTTTGCAATACTCATTAAACGCTATTTACAAACAGTTTTTGACAGCAAAATTCTGAGTTATGTTGGCACGACTATTTTCCTCACCTGCTCTAGGAAATTAATGTCACTTGTTCCAAAGGAAATCTACGATAAAAATTAATTTTACTGCAAAATGATGTACAATTATTATAGCACATACGACAAACTGTGCAGAAAGAAAGATATAAGAAAACACTATTTAACAGTAAGAAAACAAGTAACGGAAAACCCTTAGCACGCACGCCAACTGCTGCTGCTGCAGCTGCAGTGTTTCCACAATTCGTTTGCGCATGAGCGATGGGTATTTGGCAACTTCTGCCATCTATCGTGTTTCATTAGAACTCAGACAGTTCTTTGCTTCCGCGGAATTGTCTCGTGTGTCACCAGAACCTATAATTACGTTTCTCTTAAGTGATAGTTTCCTAAGCACAATTCTTTAATAAAAACAATAATTTAAAACTATTGGGATTTGTTTTTGTTTCAAGCTCCCCGTAAATGAAAGAAAAACTAATTTTTTTAAAACATTTCAATTTTGTGTTAAAATTGAAATTTTAAAATTTAATAAAATAATATACTATTCCAAGAACAGAATCTACCCCTTCGAAAACTTTTTGGGTTACTATTCAGATTTATATTGGGTACAATAAGGGAAACACGCTACCTTTTCCCAAAAGCAGAGGGATGCATAATTAAACAGCAATAAAACAAATTGTAACTTTTTATCTTCAATTTTTAATAAAATACTCTTGGTTTTAGTTAAGGACTCTAAAACTCATGCTTTATCAAACTATGTTGGAAATAAAGTAAATATAAATAAATCAAAGGATTTAAATGTCCGAGAGAGAACTTTCTTTCAATCTTCACTAAAATATGGATTTATATTTTTTGTTAACACATGTTCAATTCAAAATGGATAAATAACATTATGACAAATATAATTTACTGTATTTTGCATAATATTGTTTTGGTTTCACATTAATAGAATATTTAACTAATTCTGTCAAGGTAAGAAAGGTGCATTCGGATTTTATGGTGCACAGGAATGGAAAAAACAACAACAGATTATTATATTGTATATAATGCAGCATTTTAAGCTTAAAAATTACTTTCTTCAATACGTACAACATAACATTCCATACCATGTCATACCAAAACAAAATGCTAGCTAACATCAATAAGTTAAACTTCAGCACCAAATTAGAGAACATGTATACATCAAAATTACAGAAGGCAGGTAGAATGCACAAAATGTACCTTTGATAATGATTACAATAAAACAAAAGAAATCAACTGTCAGGCACTGGTATCAGTTAAATTTTATAAAATGACTTTACAACCCACTAAAACCAGAAAACTGTTAGTCTAAACTTAATGTTTTGATGTCAGCAAAGTTAAAAAAATGAATCTATTTCGTTACAATCTACCCCTTGATCAATCAAACTGAAAAAATAAGGACACAAAATTATTTGAGAAATTACCAACCTACTGTTGGCAAATACTCAAAGTAAGCTGTGCTTCTATGATCATTGCATATGTACAATGATTACCTCCTGCATTATTAATATTAATAGTCAATGCAAAAAAGCGCTTATATACAGTATACATTTGATAATAAAAATGTATATAAAGATTGTTTAAATCAAATATACAAAATGTTTCAACTACATAGCTTTCACTTTAGAAGGAACCTCTTTTTCTTATTCTCTTATTGGAGAAAACAAATAGAGTATTTATACACATAAAAAAGCAGTACTGCCACCATAAAAATAGGGGCAAAATATGACATACAAATCTGTACAAATTCATAAGTCACAGTCACAACTGTTTACTCTTCATAACTGCAAACGGAAAGAACAGAATTAGAGTTCTAGATATAAGGGAAATATTAAAATTTATCTGATGTACTCTAGAAATATGCATTGTTCTTGAGTCCATGGAACTGCTGCTGAAAATGTTTATTGGGGTTTACCTGTCACTATTTCTTTAAGAAACAAATAGAAAGAAATAAAATAAAATGCTTCTCATTTGGTCATTAGGAAGAATATTCCAAGTGTTTTAGTTTTCAACAGAAAGTTGAATAAAACAAAAATAATAATTGCACTTCATGCAAAGATGTAAAGGCATTGCTAATAAAATGTAATACAGGGTTTCACAAAATAACAATAAATTAAAAACAGTGTTTACTCACTCACTCTAATCATAGCTCAACCATACAAAATATTTCACATATGCATACTTCAGATTATGGAAAGAAATGAATATCACCAAAAAACAAATTTGTAAATGGTACCCCCCTTGGAAATATGCCAGGGAGAAGCATTTTGTCTTTTACAAAACATACAAAAATATGTATCCCACACAATTTTTAAAATAACTGTTTTGCCTTTTGTATTTTGTATTTTATAGAGCTGGTGATCAGCAAATGTATTGCTTTTCACATTTTAAACCAATGTTTTTATTTATCTTTAAGTTGTTCCTGTCGTAGTGGAGATTTGATCTACTGGCTTGCTGACAGAATTCTCATGATATACACAAAACATTACAGAGAAAAATAGAAATAATATTCTAATTCAATGAATTTTGTAACTAATTATGAAGACATTTATCACAAAACAACCCTGAACTAAAGACATCTAGCAACAATGTACATCTTGCATTACCAAAAAAAATGTGAATGATTTGAAAATGTAAATCCTAACACATCAAAAACAAACTTGTACTCTACAGACAAAAATCAATCTTATTTCTCTGTGCATTTTATTGACATGATAATACTGCAGCATGTCAGTTGTTTTTTTAATTGCAAGAGCACAAAATTCACAGACTTATCTTCCAAGCACTCAAGCACTAAAATATTAACAAAAAACAAACAAACATACCAAAGAAAAAGGTTTTCCCATAAAACTAACTAGCAATATTTCATCTGTTAGCTGTGGGTAATACAAATCTGAAACACTATTTATACAATTCTGCAGGAAGATTTTGTTTTCATAATAAAAATAACAATAATCATTTGAGGACAAGAAAAATTAAAGTAAGAACGTTTATGAACAATCTATGGAGCCCAATGTCTTAATATCTGACTGCATAGGCACCTACTCAATTCATTTCCCACTCCAAACAAACAGCCTACACAGATGTAAATTGGCATTTACACCATAAGGCTTATGGTGTAGTTACACACAGTACTAGGTACAGAAGTAGGATCACCATATGCAGCTTCCCAAAATTGTTCCCTTATGTCTGGGTTAGTCAAAAAATGTACTTTATTTACATATTGAAAATATTTTATTTTGTTTTAGGCTCCACTTCAACAGCACAATGCTCAAAAGTGGATAAGATGCAAAAGGTGGTCCCACTTATTCTACACACAATTATCATTTCTTGGCACAACTGTTCTTAAATTGACATCCTTATGCACCTGTTACAATCAACAAATATCACAAAGAAATCATTTTCACAGAAAAACTGGATTAGACAAAACTCAATCAAAATCCACATAAAAAAACACACAAGTTCCTTAAACCATCACAATAAAAAATAGAAAGAGGAGAAAAAACAAAAGAAAAAGAGATCTGTACAAATGAATTTACTGCCCATTAGCTATGGCCACTATGGATGAATTTCCTTTTCTAAAAAATGTACGAGTTTTGTACAAGGTAGTAAACTGAAATACATCATCATCTTCGTACATACTCAAACTCTCCCTCCTCAGTGAGCAATGCAGATAAGACTGAAGAATTATAATATAACTGAAAAGAGTTAGTGCAAAGGGCATCATGAGATGGCATTAGTGTAATATTTAAGAAGCAGTTAAGTAGAACTGTGTCAATAGTCTTGTCACATTATATTAAATATTTCAGTACTACTAGATAGTGCAGAAACAGATTTGCTTCCTTCTAAATCACATTTTAGGATTTACATCATTGCAATTGATGACTGTTTGCTAGTTACAACACTGTATGCTTGTGCAATGGGTACACATCTATTCAGTTAGCTAAATAATAGAGACCACTGTTCATCTCAATTCATATATACCACCAATGAGTGTCATATTCAACACCTATCCATTATTTTGAAAGTATGACCATGTGAATTGACGTTCTGCATGATCACGTAACACTGAAACATTATCTAGTACTACTCAAGTGTTTCAGCACACACAAAAATCATTTTAGTTCATGGTAATGGCACTAATATTACTTTTTGTTAAACTTATGATTCAAAGAAACCAGTATTAAAATTGTGCATAAAGGTAATCTGTGCTTCTTAATATTTTTACTACAACACTTCTTTATCCCAGCAAAAGCCTTGAACTTAATTGTAGTCATCTCCTAGGTTTTTACAAAGCAAATTTTGGGGTTAGTGAATTTTGCTTATACAATATTTCAGGCATACAGGTTGATAAATTGGCACATAATACAGCAGACAAGGAACATGGAATACAAATGATGTTTCTAAACTTTCTTTCACAAGATGTACATTTCCATCTCATGACATCCTGCAGTGGAAAAGAAAATTCAGGACCGCTCACAAGTCAGACGAGGAGGGTTGTGGCAACTATCACAACTCCTTGAGAAGTGCCGACTTTGCATTCTTTAACTTATCAAGTCGCCTTTGCAAATGATTATTTGATGTTTCAAGTTCTTCAACTCGTGCTTGGGCTTCCCGAAGCTGAAACATAAAAATACCAATTATAAAACAGCACTTCAACCCATTAATATCTCATGCCATCTAAATTTTCTGAGAATTAATAATTATTAACTGAAGTTCCACACACTGTAGGTTAACATTGATATCCCAAAGAAAATTTTATACAATCAAATAAAAGTGTTAATGGCAAGTTCCAAATGCAATACAGAATTTCATTGTCCATAGTGATAATTTCAGAAACAATCAAATCATTAGAAAAACTTTTCCTTTAAAGAGTAACTGTAATTTACACGTAAGTTCAAATTCACATTCCTGTTATAATCACAATCTATTAACTATTTGTCAAAAGTTTACAGTGCAACTATCTCAACTCTCATAAGTCAAACAATGATTATCAGTTTTGATAAGTGAAAAATATATCATAATAAGATAATTCATAATTGAAACATTCTTCTGAAAATTATCTTTATATCTCTCACAGAGCATAAACTTATTTAAAACAAAACTTCTTTCTTAAAATAAGCAAAAAGAGCAGACTTAAATTTCTGAGAAAATAAAATAAATTAAAGAACTCGAAGGGCAATTATTCATTAATAATATGCAGGTACTCTAAATGAACAATTCATCATTTATCATTAAAATTACCCACAATTTACAGAGAAAATTTAGAAGGTCAAGACAGTCTTAAGTTCACAATTTGCAGAGAAGTACAATCCATTTCAAATCACTGTTGTATAAATTGAAGTTGTGACACAAGTATAAGTTTTAGAGAAATGTTCAAAAATAAGCTTGGGGATCACATGATTCAGCATGTTTTTCCAAAATGCAGTTTTCAATATTAGGATCCTCCCCTAAAATATAAAAATGTAAGTCATACTCTTGAGAAGGAATTGCATGAACACACACAACATTCCCACAAGATACATCTCTCTTCTGACAGAATATTCTTTGTTAATCATCAATGTTCAATTAAAGAAACATCAAATATTTCTATATTCTACTTTTACAATGTATTAATTAAATCTATAATACGACATGCACTTGCACACAGGCAATAATATTTGCATACCAATGAAAATTAACAATCACTTAATCATAATATTACAATAAATAGTTATTCAAGAACTATAGTTTTAGAAACTAAGCCTTTTCAAACTTGTCACAGGGTTAATAAGTAAATGCACCAAAATAAAATTAAAAATACAACACTGCAATCACTCAGAAAAGCAAGCAACGCACACACAAGTGCTCACGGACAAGCAGTAGGCCCAGCTCAGTGCATTATCGGGACAGTTTGAGCTGCTCGAACTGGTGGCTCAGAGCTGATTTGGCAGCCTCAGCTTTGGCAAGACGTTGAGTCAGATCACGCACCTATTGAGCACACCAAATACCATGGAGGCACAACATACTACTACAGAAGCACAAGCTCACACTAATCTCAATAAAGCTGCACCACTGCACAACCATTTCTGCTGCATCACTGCACTACTTCACAAAATGTGAAAGACAAGAAGAAACAACTATAAAAGATAACATAATTTGAAAAACTAATTGAAGATGTCTACACAGCTACATAACACCAATTTTGAATGACGCACAGCCAATACACTATTTTGCTCTTTCAGAAAAATGGCCTAGGTAAACAAAACTTTACAATTTCAAACAAATCATTCTCAAGCTTTCCAAAAAAATAAAAGGAGAAACAAATAATGTGAATAAATTACAAAGAGAGTGAGCATGTAAATTCTTACCTCTCTCTGTAATTTCCTCTTTTCAACTTTCAATTCATCTTCAACTTTTTCAGCTGACTCAGATGCAGATTTGTATCGTATCACTTGACTTTCTAAGCGTGCAACCTATGGAAAGAAAAGTACATCAGCAAATATTTATGGTAATTATCAATCAAGCATTAAGGTTTATTTATAGGGTTTTTTTCTTACATTGGCCTGTAGAGTAGAAACGTCTTGCTCCGCTTTCTGAAGCCTAAATTTATAATCTCCTAATTGTTTATTTGCTTCTCCTATAAAAAATAATTAAATTATATACAACACAAGTAAAATGAATTGTCCTATTCTCTTGTAATTAATAACACATTTTTTCAGGTAAGAACTTTCAGATAGCAAAGCCCTCATTTTCAATTGATTTGTGTCTCATAACTTGACCTTTCAAGCATAGTTACACTTCTCATAGGGGTCACAAACATATTTTTAAAATCCATTAACATATTAATTACTACAGTATTCCTATATCATTTCATTTTTTTTGTTAAATGTTCACGTAAACTATTATAAAGAAAAACAGGAAATATTTCTGAACATTAATTCACAATTTGAAGGAGCACAGAGAAATACAATGAAAAATATTTAATTCTCTACTAAAGAATTAAAAATGTCATTATGAGCTAATGATTTCATTACATATCATTTGTTTGACAATGTTCAGATTATGTTTTTCTCATTATCAACATAAACAACACATATGGTGGTTCTATCCAATTTTATAGAAAATTTTTTGTTTGAAACAATTTACAAGACAGTCAACCAACCAACATTTACAGAGAAATATCATATAGAATTAACATAATCTTTGCAGAATGTATGATCAGAAATATTGTTACAATAACTAATTATCCATAAAGGTTGATTGAGAAATGTAGATTGTAATAATAATCTATGAAAATATGCACAACATTTAAAAAATGAATAATTTGAAAAAAAAATGTTGACTTTAAACATCCGTAACTTTTGAAATTTCTACAATCACATGCTGAGTTTTTGAGGAATGAAAATATAGTGTCTAGAATTTTTCAGACAAAAAAAAAACGGAAAATTTTAAATAATGGCTAATTTTGGCTAATTTTAAATAAATATAAAACAATGTCAAAGATCAAACATATGCACTAAATATGAGGCTTCTAGCTTTTTCACATCACATTGAACTATTCAAACAACTTTTAGATCAATCGGAATGGGTCATGCTTTTTCCGGTTAATTTCACATGGAATTACCCATATTTAAAATAGCAAGTATAAAATATGAGTACATTTCTGGAGCATATTTGCTGTGAAACTAAAACAGGCAAAGTTTTTATTAAATATATCTGAATGCTTTTTTACACAGCAAGCTTATTTCCCTTTTAAACAATTTACGAACTTATCACTGTTCTCGTCAATACAATTTTCTTTTGACGCTAAAAGAGCAGGTGTGTGCCTTTCTCTTTGCACTTGTGGCCACGACTGTGACCAGTTCGCATCCTCTAGGTGGCATCAGGGAAGAGGGGATTAATCGTACTTCCCAACAGTTTACCTGCTTGAAACTGCCAGCCACTATCCAACCCACTCAAACATAGTTGCCACTGCAATTCACTACGTCTGCAGTGAGATTTTAAACTGATCACCTGGTACTTTCGTATTAAAAAGAAAAAGATTTTCAATAAAATTTAAATATATAAACGAAAATTACTCACTCTGAATGTCAACGAGATCGGTGTCTGGTCCATTCATGCTGGCGCCCGCACCAGCCGGCCTCAGCCGATCTGACTTATGGCGGCTCCGCTCCTCTTCAAGTTCTAATTTCAAGTGTCTAACTTGATCTAAGAGCTCATTACGTTCCTCAGCAAACCTTCGTAGCCGCACATCTAATCACACAAAAAATAATAACACTTTGTATCAGCCACAAAACCACTAGATGTGTACTCTGCAGCACATAATATTTTTAATACCATGTCAGTATTTTCTCTCTCAAATATACAAAGAGCATATCAATTCACACAGATTTTTGAGGGTAGTGAAAATTGTGCTACTAGCAGAAAAAAAATTGTGAAAATTAAGAAATACTATTTACTTATTTATTTATAATAAATAAAGCCAGTAGGTATACACTCAATTACAAGCTTTACAAGCTTCAATTACAAACAAATACAAAAAATAATTCTAGTTTGTAATGGTAGCTACATATTTCTTCATAGAATGACAAAGCAAGGAAATAAGAGTCATTATTAAGTAGTTTCATTAAGTTCGCAATTTATATTAACCCTGCAATGGGTGGAGTTGCAAAAAGATACACATAAAAACAAGAAATTTGAGAGATGTACATTCATTGTTTTTCCAGAAAACAAATGCAAGCTTCTAATATGAACATTGATATTAATGTAATTACATTTATTTACATTTTAATTATTAAAATAAGTAGATAAAACAGTTTTAGATCTCCTTTATTTTCAAATTTGTGGTATCTTGACTCCATGAATATGGAACGAACTGAATTTATAAAACCTAAGCCCTGTTCCATTTGCTCCAAGTACCATAAACGAGAAACCAAGGAGAGCATTTAGATTCATTTCAACACATTATAATCATCAAAAATATTAGAATCTCCTTATTTGACCACATACTTTCAGCTGGGTGTAAATCGTAATCACAAACATTTCTTTTTCAATTTTTGAAATTGTCATCCATTGTGCAACTCGTACTTGCAAATTATAACACCCCAAACACAGTTTCTTCTTACCTAATGTTCCTTCACCTGCTGTTTGGAGAAGTTCAGCATTCTCTATAGATACCAAAGCTCGTTTAGGAGGTCGTTTTGACTGAGTTTTGTCACCTGAATCATCTTCCTCACTACTTTCTTCATCACTGGATACCTGAGTATCGCCAACAATCATGAGTCCTGCTTCCTGTAAAATAAATTAAAAATACCTTAATTTTACAATTTAAAATATTTTGCTGAAGAACTACATAACAGATCATCAACTACAATATCATTATTTTTTATATAAAAAGAAGTCACATTTTTTAACATCAGCTATTGTCATATTCATTACCATTGTTAAAATGAATAGTGCCTAAAAAAATCAACACAATTTTGGTTTACCTATTTTTTAAGATTAAATGTTCAAAATGTTCTAAAAATACACACTTTCATAAATTAATCACGGAAAACCTTTTCATAATATTAAAAGGAAATAATGTTACTCAGAGATCTTCAAGACTCTTAAATAACTTATTACTACACACCCTTTCTTAGTTTCATTGCCTATGTTTTCGAGTTAAGTGGTAACTGTAATTTTTTAGTGAAAAATCCTGAAAACACTTAGTTTGAAGGGGACATAAAGTAAAGCCAGCTGTTGTTTGTTGTACATTTACTGCATGTAAAATATCCCCAAGCCTAAAAGAAGCCACTGAGCTAAATTCAAATCACCTGTTTTGTCACTCACGTGATACCTTTTTTCTCCGCTAGATGGTGAAAACAGCGTAGTGAAATTTGTTTTGTTAGATGGAAGAGCAGACCTGATGGTCTGAGTCTCTCCATAAGGTATCATTGAATTGAATTTGAGTTGAATTAATTCTTATATTGATAAAAAAATATACATTATATTTAATTGATTGTGCTGTAGCAGCCAAAGAAACCTTACATAAATATGATTATCAACTCCATTTTCTTTGTAAGGGTAGAAATGTCTATTTTCTATTGGAAAATTATCTTCACTTCCATGAAACTCACTAATGATGAACATTAGTGAAGCTATGTACACTTCACACTCTTCATTAAATGATACGTGGCAGTTTCCTTCATTAACAGGAGTACATTGTGTTCCTAATAAGGAAATCCCAAAGAAAGGTCACAGAAACATTGATCTGAAGACTAAGGTAAGAATACTACTTCAAACAACAGTTGATTCATCATCCATAATTATTCCCAATTTAAAGCAAATAAATGTAATATTTGTCAAATATATTTTAAAATGACCTCAATGACATAAACATGCATTAACTACTTTGACAATGTCAATTCACAAATTAGACATAGGTCAGCATAAAATTTAAGTAAGTTAGTATATTATTCAATGTATGCTTACAAAATGGTAAATGGTTGCAATCTTTTGGAATATCACAAGAATTGCTAGAATCAATTTGAACGAAAACTAGTAATCTACTGTGCATAAAGCATTTTGAAATTCTATTTACTGCCTTTTACAGATGAGCAGAATGGAAAAAAGTGCAATAAATTATCATAATTATGGTTTGAGTCAGATTAGTTATCAACTGAAAAACTTATCTTGTATTATTTTTGCTCAGTAGTTATTTTGAGAATCATCTTTCTTAGAACTCCTTTGGATTATATTAACTTTAGAACATAGGGTCATTCTAGTCATTCTAAGACAGGCTACTTGCGTGTGTGGAATTGAAAAATAACGAACTGTCAAAGAAATATTAACTTTACTGTGTTAATGTGAAGGCTACTAAAAAAACCCACAGTGTATTAACTATTTCAATTATTCAAAGATTGTTTTTAGGTGAAGGAAGAAACAAAAGAGATACTTTTTTGAATTGTTTTACATGGAAACACATTTTAGATCACAAATCAATTACCAACTCTGTCACTACACAATCATACTGTGTTAGTGTTCCATCCAAGTATCAGATGCTCTAACCCTAACCACATTGATATCATTTTCAATCTTTCAACTGGTTGTATTGTCATATAGATAGAAAGTCTTCCCTAAAGGAAATAGGTGACAATTCTTAAGAAATCTTAAAAGAGTTCTGAAGTGTATTATTACATGCATATTTAGCAGTTATTTCCTATTGCGCATTACTTAACCTAATTAACTAACTTGACTGCTTATAGTATAGAAATTTTTTTTGAAATTGAAATTAAAAAGTGTATTTTTGAATAGAAAAAATATATTTCTCATGAATCATTCAGTTATTCATAATATTTGATATCATTATCGTTGGCGTAAGAAAATCAATAACACTTTAAGACAACAGTAGAAAGATTATCTTTCAATTCTGATAACATACTCATATTACTTTGAAAGAAAAATAGAAATATTCAAACTGATGTTGAGAAAAATTTCAAACAAACATTAAATCAGTTTTTTGGGACAACTATTCTATCATCATTAAGAGAAATGACATAGATTCTGGTTTTGTCTCAAGGTTTATTAACCATAACAAGAATTATTAAATGCTCTTTGATGAGACAAGTACAATCCAATATTCACTCAAAATCTATAAAATTAATCCTGAACATCTTTCATAGAAGATGAAGTGTAGATTATTTTGAGAAATGTGGTCATTTTGAGAAATAATATTAATGATATTAGTACTAGAGGATATGAAGTATTGAGGGTAGGTATGGTCAAGGTTTCCACATCCTTTAGAATAGTTCTAGTTGAGCAAGTGTATAAGTATGAGAAAGAGCTAAAGAAGTTAGGTCTCTCCTTTATTCTCTCAAATCACCATTGAAAAATTGCTCAGCATGCAAGATATTTTTTTGAGTCTGATTACCACATACCTTATACAGTTAAAATTATTATACATCTGTAATAGTGAAAACATTCTATTTCTTAGAGCAATGCCTTCACTTCTTTATAAACCATGCTTTCAAAAGAGGTAATGCATGAAATAAATGTTACAATATCTTCAGTCTTTTCACAGATATAACTTTTAATAAACAGTTATATACTTACAATATATACCAACTTTGAAATTAAGTCTTAATAGCAAAACATGTTATGAAGTTAAAATGAATTGATAATCTATCAATCTTTACTAACATTAAATTTTACATTTATGGAAATTTCCCAATGATAAACAGGTTTTGCAATAAAATAAATTCAAATGCTTTAAAACATCTACACAACAAAATAACAATTAATCAATAAAATTACTTTTAATGTAAAAATATATTTTTGTACAACTTCATGTTACACAAGTGTATTCTCATTGTGCTACTTCCACACCTGTAGGTTGAAGCTGATCTGACCGCTGAGACATTACCTGAAAATATATTTTGCCTAATAACTACAAAGATTTACAGTGCAAGAATAATTCTCAGATGATAGTGAAGATAAACACATAAAACACACACCACTCTACTCACATTCCGAAAATGATACAGAAGCAAACAAACAATCACAACCATAACAGACTTGGTGAATCATTCATAACTTAGAAAACCCACCACCTGTTCAAAACTTTCAGGTATTACAACATTTAATCTCATAGTATATAGCTCTATAAAAGTGTTGTAGAAGAATGTGTAAGTTATTCTCAAGACAAAACCCTATAACCCAACAGTAAAGCATAATTTTAAACCATCCAAAGAAGAATTACCAAAAGTCTGTGCAGATTTAAATAGAAAGTTTGAAGAATCTGTAAATATTTACAATAGATTGAGTATCATTTTAAAGTGCATTAGCTGACAAGAAAACAGAACCTTACCTGTTTAAACAATTCTTTAAATGAAATATATTAGATGTGTGTGAACTTCACATTATTTTTTTCCTTTAGAGGACAGTGATTTCTGTGACCCTTCTGGGTCCACACAAAAATGTATTAGGATAGATATTTGACTTTTCTACAGTTTGCATTCTAAAATTGTCTATCTACAAACTTTTAGGTAAAAATATGTTTAATTATTTACAATTTTGTTATAAAAATAGATGATAATTAAAATTATCATTAATTTAAATGAACTTTATACGTTTAGAAACCTTGCCCCCTTTCCTTAGAACAAAGAGCAAAACAGCGAAAACTGAATATGACATTCTTAATATATGATGCAGCAATAAGATACATCACATCTTATGATACATATTTAAAGTAACATTCTAACCTCATGAAATTTACCATATGAATTCACGAAGTCCACAAACTAATACACACAAATACATCAATGTAAAATTGAGTAATTATTATTACCTGAATCAGCTGATCTCTCTCCTCCAGCTGGGATTTGCACCACTCCATGTCCTCTTTCAGTTTGTCCCAAGCCCGTTTCAGCTGATCATGCTCTCTACATTTTTCCTTGTGTTCTCGCTGCAAAATACATCAACATGACTTACACATAAAACACAATAACTCAGTCCAATCCAGTAGAGTGAGGGTTTCAAACCTGAAGTTGAGAGTGCTGTTCCTCTAGATCATCAAGGCGATCCTTAAGCAATTCCACTTGGTACGTCAATGATGCTTTTTCATTGTCTAACTGGGCATTCTGAACCATTGCCTTCCGGAACTTCTCCTCATACTCCTTAAGTTCCTGCTGTACAAAGACAAAAATACCATTAATTCTAAAATATTTCCATTAAAGTTAAAATACGAATCATTTTCAAATCTAAAAGAATTAGAACAGGTTTCTTAAAGTTTGCTTCTGAATACTACAATACTCTACATTCAATTCTGGGTCACTTACAGGATGTCAACAAAAATTCTCTAGTAAAAATTTGCGGTCTTGTTTGACAAAAACATTTCTCTGACTTCTAGAAACCATTAAAAACATAAAATCAGATTCAGGTAAAATAAATCAACATTTATTTTGTCTACTAACGCACTATAAATTATGTATAGTAATGCACATAAAACACATTATAATAGAATCAATATCTTATTGGCATCCAGGATTTGCATTAGATACATTTTTTAAATTAAATACTACATGTAAAATTAAAAGAAAAAAGTATCTGCAATATGCATTTCAAAACTAAAAACCCCTGCAATTCTATCAAAAAAGACTATCACGGATAACTTTCTTACTCTCATATCCCGGAGACTGATTCCCTCTTCTAAAGAATCCTCTGAACTTCGCCGACTGGACTGGTAGCTGTTAGTACTTTCTCGCGACAAGCGTGGGGTGGACATAGTAGTGGCCACCCTGGAGGGCCTACTCACCTGCTCTGTGTTGCAAACAGTAATTAAAATTGTCAGTAAAGTTAAACATCATTCACATTAAGCCTTAAGAATAACACATGCAATAATACGCAGAGAAATAAAAATGGAGGAAAGAAAGAAAAAAGTTTTGATTTACATAATAAATATTATTTTTACTAAGTTTTCTTTACATTTGCAATCATTTTTCAAAATCCCTCAAATCGAATTTATAATGAGTTTCCAAAGAAATTATACACCACATTTCTACTCTTTACTTTCACCCCCTCATCTTTAAAATGTCATTTCCAATATAACAGTCAAGGGACATTTGTGTATTTACAATGAACATAATAATTACAATACAATAGAATAATCTGTAACTGATTACAACAATTATAACAATAATTTCAGTTATTCAAGTAAACTATTTGAAAAATAGTTATTACAAATCATGTGCACTCTTATCCACTCAATAACAATTAAAAATGAATTACCTGGATACATGTCATACACTTTGTCTGCATTTTCCTCCAGTTCCTTCTGCTGCCGCTCCAACTCTCGCATGCGGATTTCTCTTGCTTCTGCACGTGCTTGCCTCCTTGCTGCCAAGCGAGCTTCAGCCTGTGAGTAAAATACATAAATGATGAAATATTCTTTCAAAACTTATCACCATTCACTTTATGTTCTGCATAAAGTTGTTGTCTTTAATTTGAACATGTTCCTTGACTTCATTCCAATAAAACACGCCAAAAATTATAATGACAAAAAGGCTCCTAATATGGCAATCATCCAATGTTAAAAATGCATAATATTATAGAATCACTGAAAAACAAATGCTTATGATTCAAAAAGTATTCACCAAGTTAACAAATGTGAAATGTATGAACGCCCAAGCTAAGTCAGGATGCACTGCACTGACCAACAGCACTGCACTGAAAGAACACTATATAGCTGACCTAGCTGGCTCAGAAACTAGGGAACCTATCTATTTGTAGGTGTCCTTATTAGCTGAAGAGTACTTCCAAGGGTCTTAAGGGAATCAATATTACTATTTAATATAATATTTTTTTCTTATTATTTACAACCACAAAACGTTCATGTAATCTTTATTCTACTGTTTTTGAATCTTTGCCAAAATCCTACCACTTGTTTTTAAACAAGGTTGTTTCTTAGGGTCTGAATTTTCCTTAGTTATTTATCCATGCAATAAAACATAGTCTTTATTCTAGAAATAAATGTAGAGAACAAACATTAAGGGATTACTTTTAAGTATTGACAACTCTGAGAGGAATAATTAATCATTCTTTAATAGGTCAACTCTATTAAAGTAACTTCCCCCTCTCCTGCAGAGAAAATAATGGTTTTGTTTAATTATAGCAACTCTGGCACTAATTCAAACACCCACTAAAGAGACAGAAATTACTTCAACCCAGACAATACAGAATAATATAAGATTACTAATGTTTGATTTAGTACTTTTTTCTATTTACAATATATAATTTATTAGTATATGATTAGAGAATTTCTTTGAATAAAGAGGTGAGATTACATTTACCAGTAATGTCACCTTAATAAATATCTGATAAAATTCTAAGAAAATATTTATCTCTACAGTGATTCAGATAAACTACTATCAATTCACACCAATTACATAATATGCACTTTTCATCAGAAAATCTGAAATTATTTCTGGACAATTTGCTTGTTCCAGTCTGAGCTGCAACTCTATATTTATAATTCTCATGACACGAACAAATCTCTATATACTAATTAATTTTAAAACCATCAGAATTATGCATCAAAAGCTTTCTAATATTCTGAAATTATAAGCACATCAAAATATCAGATATCCCAAGGAAAATTAAATTTCTAGTTTCACAATACGTTTAAAAAGGATTTAAAATTAAAGTTTAAATGCTGTAAGTCTCCTTTACTGCAATATTTATTTGCAAGTAATGGAAAATGACAAGAACTGTCTTGCATGATAAGATTGCTTAGGATGTGTGGAAATACGCGAATCCCATCCCTACTATCAATCAAGAAATTTGAATAGATCTCACTTCTATAAACTTATTTATTTAATGTCAAAAACAGTGGCATACTATGAGGAGACTTCCACCACCACTTTTGAATAATATTTACTGCCATTCGATGAGGACACAGTCACTCACTAAAGGATTCAAGAAATTGCACATCATTTGCTTAAGCCGGCAGTCAATCTATGCTGTTAAGTGGCATTACCTCGACATAATATTTCGCGCTGGGGAAGAAAATAAAGAAAAAGGTAACGATGGGGACAGTGATACAATGCACTCTCCCAACTCGTACTGGCTGCAGTCGAGAGAAACGTGATCGTCCACTTGTGCAATATTGTCAGGTGCATCGTGGGCTGACATGGAATTGCTGTTGGCGATGGGTACAAGTATCTTTTTTCACCAACAACCTCACACCCAGGTAAGAAGAGTTTCTCTTCACACAGCACTATCAGAATATACAATCCAACAAGACGAATTAACTTGTCAAAAAAAAAATCATGCGCTTATCAGCTAGTGGCATCATTTTGTTTTCCTGTACCAGGATTTGTACACTAGAATAAATTCGAGTCAACGCCAACGCAGGTGATTATAATTCATGACACCGCCTGAAGCCAACCAAGATCTTTCAAGGCAATAAGCCATTATTACGAGCGCGTACTTTATCGGTGCTCTTGTCGAGGAACTCGACGATGCCGTCGTCTTCATCGGCCTCGTCGACGGCGGCGGTGCCGGCGGGCAGCGAGGGCGGGGGCGGCGGGGCGGGGGCTGGGGCGGCCGCGAGAGGCGAGGAAGGGACCGAGGGCTTGCTGCCGCGGCGGATGGGTGGCGTGCGCCCTAGGGAGGACCCTCTTCGGCCGCGCGCCTCGCCCGCGGGCGAGACGGGCGTCGAGGGCGTCCCGGGCGCGTCGGCCTCGCCCTCCGCCGCCGAGTCGAACACATCGTCGCCGTCCTCGCCGCTCGCCCTGCCCGCGCTGTCCGTCCGCACCAGCGGGTTCACGCACTCGCTCTCCGGCGACGCGGCCGCCGACGCCGTCGTCGACGCCGTCGACGCCGGGCTGGCCGCGCCCGTCCTCGCCCCGTCGCCCGAGCTGCAGTCCTCGAAATTGCAGCTGTCCTCGCTACCGTCGTCGGCTGCGGAGCGCAGCGCGTCGTCCAGCGACGAGTCGGCCGCCGGGGACGGCGGCCCTTCCGCTCGCGGAGACGCCATCCTTCACGGCCCGGGCGGCGCGGGCGACATTCTGACGGCGAGGCGCTGCCGCCGCCGCCGCACCGCACCGCGCCGCGCCACGACGCGTCCGATTCCGCGCTGACGTCACTCCCCGTGAAGAACGTCGTTATCTCGCGCGGCAGCCACTACACCTCGATCTTCGTCTGGGCGGAGAGGGAGACGAATTCCTCGCGGCGGCGGCAACAACAACAGCCCTAGCGCGCGCACGCCACACGAGCGGCTCCTCAGTCCGCCGCCGCTACACCTCGCACAACACCAACCGGCGCACTGCAGTCCTCCCGCGCGAGGCCCTCGCGGGGGCGGCGCGGTACGGGGGGCGCTCCGCTCCTCCACGGGGCGCGGAACAATTCCGCCGCCTCGCCGCGGAGAAGGGCGGAGCGCGCCGCTTTCTGGAAACGCGGGCGCCGCGCACGCCACCGCGGGCGTTGCGTGCAGCGTGGACGCCTCCGCCGCCACCCGGCAGGTAGGTCGGCGCAGCACGCCACGCGCGCCCGAAGAAAGCAGTCGCGGCTGCCGCCCGCGACGCGTCGAGCCACGCGACGACACGACGCGCCGCGCCGTCACGCGCGCGAGCGCGTCCGCCAACCGCGCGGCGTGGCGCGCCGCCCGTCCGCCTAACCGCCGCCGCCGATAAGAGGGAAAAACAGGCGAGGCGGCGACCGCGTGCTGGAAGTGCACCCTTCCCTCGGGTCGCCCCGACCGGCACCGCCACCGACCAAGCAGGCAGGCAGGCAGGCGGGCGGGCGGGCTACGCGGCGCACACACGTAACAGCTGACTGCGAGAGGTGCCCCCTCCCCGTGGAGGCAACGGGGAGAGCGGAACGGGACGGGCGGGGCGGGGCTCCGCCACGGCCGCGGCCCCCCGCGCGCCGTGCCACCGGCCCTCCAGAAGATAACAGAGGCCGCCCAACCCGATTCCGACGTCACCTGCCTTCGCCGCCGCCGCTGCCGCCGCCGCCACCACCGCCGCACGCATCGCCACCCACGCCCCGGCGGCGCCGCGGGTAAGTCCCGCGCCTGCCTCATCGCGCAGTCTGCTCACGCGGCCGGCGACTCGCGTTTTATTGTTGCTTTTTGTGGCCGGCGTGTGTCATCGCCGGGACCCCGCGAGGCCGTTTGTCGTTCTCCCGAACGTGGCGCTCCCGGGAGTCTTTCAGAGACGGAAAGGAGAAGAGGAAGGGACGGGCGGCGGGTGTCTTTCTTCGGCAACATTTTTGTTAGGTCTTAGTATTGCATTGCTGCGGTTAAAAATCCATTTTCGTGCACACTATAAATCATGAAAGAAAATTAAAAAGTAAGTCAGATGTTTACTTTTGAATGGGGCACACTTTCAGCTCGATGGGAATGGCACAGTCTCTAGCTACAAATATGCTCCTATCTCGCACTATATTGGAGAAGGACAGCCCACGCGTTCTCGCCATTCTCCCACGATTAATTCTCGACTTTTCGTCACGCACTTGAGGGCCGAAAACTGGCTTTCGGTTTCAACGATTCAAATTCCTCCGTCTGATATAAATCTCGTCGTGTGAATAATTAAAAAATGTAAGAGAATGAAACCATCGCGTGCAGCGTGTTGTTAACTATTGCATTTCTCAACGATGACTCGCGCTCCAGGACAAGTACGTCGTGTCAAAAAATCAAAACCCAACCAAATCATTTTCATGCGTGAGTTATTTTTCGCAGGAAATTCTAAGAAGTACACTTTTAGATCAGTCCTGGATTACACGCTAAATAAAAATAAGGCTGACGCAATGAACGAAAAAGAGGTATATCAAAACAAATACGTCACACTGAGTAACAAGACAACTAAACAAGAAGAAGAGCGGATTACTTCCGATCATGAGCATGGCACTGAAGCGGAATCTGAACGACATTAGCGGCCACCCTCCATATCTGCTCCTTCCGCGGGTCCTCGCATCCGGTGGCGACGTCATCCCTTCCTTTCCCTTCTGCGGTCGCGCGCTCCCTTCCTCGCGAGCGAGCGCTCTGCACTTCCACAATGCGGAGCGGCGCTTTCGTCAACGGCGCTGCGCGGCCCTCCCCGCGGGGAAACCTGTCTTGAAAGCGCGAGGCGGCTGCGGCGGGCAAGGCGGTGGCAGCGCCGCACACTGCGCGGAATCGGCCGCCGCCGACGCACAAGGCAACAAACAGATAGGTTCCAGTTACAACACATAAAAAATGTAATACTTTGAAAATGATAAATTAAAGAAATTTTGGCCTGTTTGAACTGTTATCGGTGATAAAACCATGCTGGGTACTTCGCAATAATAATAATAATAATAATAATAATAATAATAATAATAATAATAATAATAATAATAATAACTATAATAAATCAAGATCATCTGAATGTGGGACGTCCTCCTTGTTTTATTGGAGTTCTGGGATTTGTTCCGCAAATTTGTGTAAGAACTTGGCCAAACTCTAGGGCCATTTAAAACACTGGAAAGTGCAAGAGATTGCTTTATTGGGAACAGCTTAATTTTGCGCTAAGTATTGTAGAGGCACCTACAATCCCAAGATCTGTTCCTTAGGAAGCTGTTTGCAATCCGGAGTGGATTTTATATTCAACCGACTCATAACATTTTTAGTGGTGAATTAGAGGAATAATAATAATAATAATATAATAATAATATAATAATAATAAACTAAACACAAACTCTGGGGAAAAATACAGAAAACTTATTTATTTGCACGTCACTACACTTATGGTCTATTTGGATTTTTATTTAATTATTTATTTCGTCGATCTAAATAATTGAGAATTGTGAACAATACGCTTCGCGCGCTTTCGGTGTCTGCTCACTGTGCGGCGGAGACCCAAACCCCGCTCGGCAGCAGCTGCTTGCTGCTCCTACCGCCACCCGTGTACGCCGTATGCGCGGCAGGTTCTGCCAGTCCACACCCTAAAAGCGCGTTCATCGCCAAGATTCCTGGCCGAGCCCGCTACAAAAGCACCGTTCGCGCGCAAGCGGGGGGCAGTTCCGTGGGAGCGCTCTGCACCTGGCCCCGCCCCTCTC